AGCAAGACAATGATGCTTCACAGAGCATCTAGGATTCGCAATCCACAGACACCACGGGTTTGTTCTCTCGCAGCCTTAGAACACCGAAACCAAAGAGTGACTTGAATGCTTTTTTCTTATACAGCAGGGGCTATAAATCTTCTCCCGAACTCCCATCAACATCCATCCTCACTGTGGATGAACTAGAATTAGCAGTGCCTCAAAGCTCTGCCTCCCACCTGTTAAGTGAGGTTACAGGATCACAAATAACCCTATTTCCATTTCCGACTAGCCAGGAGAGAGGCAGCACTGAGCAATTCCTTCCTTTGCTCCCTGCTTGCTGGAATGACAAAATCCAGGAATCATCTCGCTCAGTTCCAACTGGGCACGGCGTTTGAAAACTCCTCATTGACCATTTTATTTATTTTTTCTTCCATTTTCAAAAATTAAAAAAAAAAAGTTCCCTCAAAGCACTGGGCATAGTGCAATAAGAAGAGGATTTAAAAACAAATTGCTTCCAAGTCGCATTAAATCACTGCAAACACTCCTTTATCCGGAGGCTACTAACCAAACTTGCTTCCCTCCTGCCTCCCCCAGAAAAAAAAAAAGCGTGGGACTGAAAGTAACCTAGTTTCCTAGAGGTCTCAACTAGGAAAGTCCTTAATGCACTGGTGAGAGCATTAGCGCCCCCTTATTTTAACTTCATGCCCTGCCCTGTATGCCAACCAACAACTAGAATTTTTATAAAAATTGATCTTGTTACCTTCCCACCTTCCTTTAAATATTAAACACACACACACACACACACACACACACACACACACACACACACACACACACACACACACCATGTTTTAGCATGCAAGCTGTTCAGACCCAAGAGGCTGCCAAGGATGCATGGGGCACAGGGGTGGTGGTACCCAGGGACAGTTTCTCTCTCTCCCTGCCCCCTCCCCCATAAGTGGAGCCCGGCAGAAGATGCTACAAGATAGCCCGCGCTTCACAAAGCTCATCACCGCGCCGACGAGGCATTTGGATACGGAATCAGGGTCTCGCTCGAGTCTGGGGTCCATCCCAGGGAGAATGCCAAAGAAAAAATAAAGGAACGGGATTTTTCCAAACGGCAGCTGGTGGCATTGGCTGCCTGATGGACAGCACGAAGGGGAGATGCAAAGCCGCTGCCTTTCTAGAGCATCTCACTGGGCAGATGTCCAGGGGGTCGCTTTGTGGGCGCACAGGCCGGCGCGGCTCGGGGTGGGATCCGGGCCCACCCAGGAGGCGGAGGAAGGCTGGGAGAGGCGAGACCCCCAATCTCCCCGGGAGGAAGCGCTCGGGCCGGTGTCCGTGGGCGCAGCCACCCCGCCCGGGCGCCCCCTCGGAGAGATGCAGCCCGGACACGAGTGGGCAGGCGCGGGGGCGCGAGTGGCCGGCGTGGACGCGGCCCGGGCGGCCCGGGGCTTCCCGCAGCGCCGGCGACGCGCCGAGACCGTCCTGGGCTGCCCTGCGCCGCGGCGGCCGCTAAGAGGCGCCGGCGACCCACGTTTGCACCGAGGCCGCGCTCGGGCATCGCCGCCGCTGCTCCAAAAACCAGGCGGAGAAAACGGGCAGCTCCGGTGAACCGGGGATGCGGCGATTATTCCCAGGCGCATCCGGCCCCTCTGCACCTTCCCGTCGCCCCCGGGGGAGTCACCCTCACTGGGGGGGCCCCAGGGGTGCGCCCCGCCAACAGCTGGAGGATCTGCACCGTCATCCCGCGCACACGCACACACACACACACACACACACACACGGGCGCGCCGGCCCTCCAAGGGCGCACACCGTGACCAACGGCTCCCGCATCCCGGGCTCGGGGTCGGGGAGGGTCTTGGGGATACCGCTCCCGGGCGACCCCGCCGCGCTCCCACCCAGGAGGGAGCCGCGAGTGAGAAAGTAAGAGCCATCCGCGACGGCGCGGCCACCGTCGGGGCCACTCCCGCCCCTCCGGGTCCAGCCACAGGTCCACCCCTCAGCTGCCGCTCCGGGGGGTCCAGCGCGGCGCTAAAGCTGCCGGACTGCAGCGGTTTGCACTTGGCTCCGTCGGTTTTACTGCAGCTGCCAACGGATGAGCCTTTTTTTTTTTTTCTGCTTGGCATGCTTCCCTCCCGAGCGCTGCAAAGCAGGACCGGTCTCCAGGAAAGAAGGGGGTTCCAGGGGGGCCCGGGAGAGGGATGCAAGAAAAACGCGGTCGCTGATGGCCCCTCATCCCGCCGTCGACACGCGAACGTCCGTGCACACTCGCCCAAGTCGGTCCCCTCCGGTGTGGGGGGGCGAAGGGCCACGTACCTCGCGTTCCCGCGGTTCGGTCATTCGTTCCCAGGGCGCCGCCGCCGGGGACCGTCCTCTCTCGCGGGCCGGGCCAGGACAGCGAGCATCGCGGTCGGTCACCGGGAGCCCCGCGCCCAGCACAGCCGCGTCGGGCTTCCCGCGGGGAGACCCGGGCCCGCGCCCGCGCGGGTGCGCACTTGCCGCCGCCTTTTAACTTGCCGCGGCCACTCACTCGCGCGCGTGTCGAAGCTTCGGGGCCCGGCGCGGAAGGAGGCGGGGGGGATGGGGGTCCCTGAGCGTGTGTGTGTGTGTGGGGTGTGTGTGTGTGGGTGGGAGGGGGGGTCACTCCGAGTTGTGGCGCCCCGCCCGGGAGGGTGGCGACGAGCGCGTGAACGTGAGAGCGCGGCCGCAGATCCCCGCAGCGACACACATACACTCGGGCCCCGCGTGGGCACGGTCCCGGGGCGCGTGCCCAATGCACGCACGCACACACACATGCACGCACACACACATGCACACGCGAGCACACATGCGGGCACGCGCACACACACACACACGCGCGCGCGCGCGCACACACACGCGCACACACAGAGATACACGCGCGCGAGCGCGCATCGCTCCCGGGAACCCTGCGGGTGCGCGCGGCCTCCAGACTCGGCTCGTCCTGCGGGTTTGCCCCAAACTGGGCAGGATTGACTGCACCAATCTTGGAGCGCGCGCGTGCCCCCTCTGTGTGTGCGTGTGTGTGTGTGTGTGTGTGTGTGTGTGTGTGTGTGTGTGTGTGTGTGTGTTGGGGAGAAGAAATCTAATCTCCAGTAGTCGGGAAAATAAAAGCAGAGAAAAAAAAAAAAACAGCCCCGAGCGCGCATCCGCGGCGCAGCACTTGGCGGCGGGAGGCGCCCGGGATGTTGGGGATCATCGGGCAGAGCCGGGGCGCAGCTGCACGCCCGGGGCCGGGGCGTCGGGCACGCGGCCGGCGGGCTCCGGGGACAGCAACTCCCGCGCCACGAATCCCGGCGCTCGCCGTGCCAGGCGGCGGGGGCCCCCGGGAATCCGTCTCCCTCCGGGGCGGGAGGGTCGTGGGTCTGCTCGCGGGAGGGGACCCCACCCCCTCCGGCTTTCCAAGACGCCCCTGGACCCCGAGTCCACTCGCGTGGCACCCCCAGGGCCGCTCAGCCCCTCACTCTTGGGTGGCCACACGCCGCCGCGCATCTTTTGGAGAGCCCCCTCCTCCACGCCCCGCCGCCCATCATCTCGGCCGGAGACCCTGGCCCCGGTGCAACTTTCCCCGCGGCGGCCCGCGGGGATTTCTTTATTCCCACCGGCAGCCGCAGGGAAATACCTTCCAGGGGACCGGGGGAGAGAGAGGGAGCGAGAGGGAGAAGAATGCGCGCGTCACTGGAAACCCCGCTCCCGGGAGGGCAGCCGGCGCGCGGCGGTCGTGTTCTGGCCTCGGCTGATGCAAACAGGGGAACCTCGCCTTCCCGGGGCATTACCTGTGGCTGGGGACCGGGAACTTTCCGCGGCCGCGTCCCCAGCCAGCCAGGCAGCCAGGCAGCGGCAGGCAGCGGCCCGCCGGGCCCCGCTCGCGCTCACACTCACACTCACCGCGGCCGCCCGCGCCCGCCCCGCGCGCCCGCCCCGCCCCGCCCCGCCCCGCCCCTCCGGCCGCGTGACGCGCCTGCTGGACGGCCGCGCCCGCCAATGGGAGCGCGCGCGGGGGGCGGGGCTCGCCGCCCATTGGTTGGCAGGAGGAGGGCGCTGCGCAAAAACAGAGGCGCGGAGCGCTCCGAGCTCAGACACGGGCCGCCGCCGGGATCAGCATCAGCAGCATCAGCATCAGCAGCAGCAGCTCCGGGGCTGGAGCGGGAGGCGGCGGGAAAGGGCTGGAAGGCGCCGGGCGAGCCCGGGCGGCAGACGCACGGACGGACGGACGGACGGACGGACGGACAGCGGCTCGCTCGCTCGCTCGCTCGGAGACGAGAAAGCCACGGCAGACAAACTGCTCCTCGCACTCGCGGAGAGCCCCGGGATGGCAGCGATGGAGACGGAGCGAGACCAGACTCTGAAAGCCAAAACATAAATAGAAACAGGGGACAGAGAGAGAGAGAGCGAGAGAGCGAGAGAGGGAGGGCGGGGGGCGGAAAATGCCCAAGAGGAACATCCATCCGGAGCAAGCAGAAGAATGAAAGTTTCATGCTGCAGAGCCCTTCTGGGCTGCTCGGGCACCCAATTCCCTGGCGGTCTCTAAGCCCCTTTGCCTCTGCCAGCCGTTGACATTCAGAGGCATGTTCAGCAGCGGTGCCGGCTGCATCTCCTCTTCCTGCTCCTCTTCCTCTTCATCCTCCTCCTCCTCCTGCTCCTGCTCCTGCTCCTCCTCCTCCTCCTCCTTCTCCACCCACCATCAGCAAGAAGACAAACCGAGGACAGTCTTGAAATACCGAAATTTCCTCCTTGGGATCTGCCAGCGCCGCGTTGCGCCAAGACTGTGGGGATAAAGGACGCTGTGACTGTTGTATTATTATTGTATTAATTGGTTCCGTGGGAAGGTTCCAGGCGAGGGCAGGGGGGATATGCCTGACACCCTGGCTGCGCTCCGATGGGGAAAATGAGGCTGAATTGGGGGAAAAGCCTGAAATGAAGCAGGAGGAATAAGATTTAAAAAAAAAAAAGGGACAGAGAGCCACAGGAGCCCCCCTCCCTCCATCCCTCCTCCCCATAGCGCACTTTTTTTTTTATTTGTGTGTTGTGATTCGGTGTTGCTTTTTTTTTTAATAGATTTTTTTTTTCCCGTGTAGGTGGGGGAGGCGGTCGGGTGGCTGGCGGGCTGCGGGAAGCTGCTTCCTTCCCCTTTGGAGATGATTGTGCTATTCTTCTTTGCCTTGCTCTGGATGGTGGAGGGAGTCTACTGCCAGCTTCACTACACGGTGGAGGAGGAGCAGGAACATGGCACTTTCGTGGGGAATATCGCCGAGGATCTGGGCTTGGACATTACAAAACTTTCGGCTCGCCGCTTCCAGACGGTGCCCAACTCGCGGACGCCGTACCTGGACCTCAACCTGGAGACCGGGGTGCTGTACGTGAACGAGAAGATCGACCGCGAGCAGATCTGCAAGCAGAGCCCGTCGTGCGTGCTGCACCTGGAGGTCTTCCTGGAGAACCCCCTGGAGCTGTTCCGGGTGGAGATCGAGGTGCTGGACATCAACGACAACCCGCCCGCCTTCCCGGAGCCCGACCTGACGGTGGAGATCTCGGAGAGCGCCACGCCGGGCACCCGCTTCCCCCTGGAGAGCGCCTTCGACCCGGACGTGGGCACCAACTCGCTGCGCGACTACGAGATCACCCCCAACAGCTACTTCTCGCTGGACGTGCAGACGCAGGGCGACGGCAACCGCTTCGCCGAGCTGGTGCTGGAGAAGCCGCTGGACCGCGAGCAGCAGGCGGTGCACCGCTACGTGCTGACCGCCGTGGACGGGGGCGGCGTGGGCGGCGGCGGCGGCGGCGGCGGCGGCGGCGCGGGCGGGGAGGGCGCGGGGCTGCCCCCGCAGCCGCCGCCGCCGCAGCTGCAGCGCACGGGCACGGCCCTGCTCACCATCCGCGTGCTCGACTCCAACGACAACGTGCCCGCCTTCGACCAGCCCGTCTACACCGTGTCCCTGCCCGAGAACTCGCCGCCCGGCACGCTGGTGCTGCAGCTCAACGCCAGCGACCCCGACGAGGGCCCCAACGGCGAGGTGGTCTACTCCTTCAGCAGCCACCTCTCCCCGCGCGCGCGCGAGCTCTTCGGCCTGTCCCCGCGCAGCGGGCGCCTGGAGGTGAGCGGCGAGCTGGACTACGAGGAGAGCCCCGTGTACCAGGTGTACGTGCAGGCCAAGGACCTGGGCCCCAACGCCGTGCCCGCGCACTGCAAGGTGCTGGTGCGCGTGCTGGACGCCAACGACAACGCGCCCGAGATCAGCTTCAGCACCGTGAAGGAGGCGGTGAGCGAGGGCGCGGCGCCGGGCACCGTGGTGGCCCTGTTCAGCGTCACCGACCGCGACTCGGACGCCAACGGGCAGGTGCAGTGCGAGCTGCTGGGCGACGTGCCCTTCCGCCTCAAGTCCTCCTTCAAGAACTACTACACCATCGTCACCGAGGCGCCGCTGGACCGCGAGGCGGGCGACGCGTACACGCTGACCGTGGTGGCGCGCGACCGCGGCGAGCCGGCGCTGGCCACCAGCAAGTCCATCCAGGTGCGCGTGGCCGACGTGAACGACAACGCGCCGCGCTTCAGCCAGCCCGTCTACGACGTGTACGTGACCGAGAACAACGTGCCGGGCGCCTACATCTACGCCGTGAGCGCCACGGACCGCGACGAGGGCGCCAACGCGCAGCTCGCCTACTCCATCCTCGAGTGCCAGATCCAGGGCATGAGCGTCTTCACCTACGTGTCCATCAACGCCGAGAACGGCTACCTGTACGCGCTGCGCTCCTTCGACTACGAGCAGCTCAAGGACTTCAGCTTCCAGGTGGAGGCGCGCGACGCGGGCAGCCCCCAGGCGCTGGCCGGCAACGCCACGGTCAACATCCTCATCGTGGACCAGAACGACAACGCGCCCGCGCTCGTGGCGCCGCTGCCGGGCCGCAACGGCACGCCGGCGCGCGAGGCGCTGCCGCGCGCCGCCGAGCCGGGCTACCTGCTGACCCGCGTGGCCGCCGTGGACGCCGACGACGGCGAGAACGCGCGGCTCACCTACAGCCTGCTGCGGGGCAACGACCTCAACCTGTTCCGCCTGGACTGGCGCTCGGGGGAGCTGCGCACCGCGCGCCGCGTGCCCGCCAAGCGCGACCCGCAGCGGCCCTACGAGCTGGTCATCGAGGTGCGCGACCACGGGCAGCCGCCGCTGTCGTCCACGGCCACGCTGCTCGTGCAGCTGGTGGACGGCGCGGCCGAGCCCGGCGGCGCGGGCGCGGGCGCGGGCGCGGGCGCGGGGGGCCCCGGGGAGGCGCTGCGGCCCGGGCGCGCGGGCCACGGCGCGGGCCACGGCGCGGGCCACGGCGGCGGCGGCGCCGAGACCTCGCTGGACCTCACGCTCATCCTCATCATCGCGCTGGGCTCCGTGTCCTTCGTCTTCCTGCTGGCCATGATCGTGCTGGCCGTGCGCTGCCAGAAGGAGAAGAAGCTCAACATCTACACGTGCCTGGCGGGCGAGTGCTGCCCGTGCTGCTGCGGCGGCGGCGGCGCGGGGCCCGCGGGGGCCGCGGGGGGCGCGGGGGGCGCCGGGCCCGCGGGGGGCGCCGGCTGCTGCGGCCGCCAGGCCCGCGCGCGCAAGAAGAAGCTCAGCAAGTCGGACATCATGCTGGTGCAGAGCTCGGGCGCGCCGGGCAGCGCGGCGCAGGTGCCCGTGGAGGAGGCGGGCGGCTTCGGCTCGCACCACCACAGCCAGAACTACTGCTACCAGGTCTGCCTGACCCCCGAGTCGGCCAAGACCGACCTGATGTTCCTCAAGCCCTGCAGCCCCTCGCGGAGCACGGACGCCGAGCACAACCCGTGCGGGGCCCTCGTCACCGGCTACGGCGACCAGCAGCCCGACATCATCTCCAACGGCAGCATCCTGTCCAGCGAGGTAAGGCGGCCGCGCCTGGACCACTGGCTCTCCTCTCCTCCGTCCGAGAGCCTGCTCTAGGGCGGGCCCACCCCCCTCCCCCTCCCTCCCTCACTCCATCCCACCCCCGGCCTGCTCTCGGCGCCCCCAGGATGCTCGGTGCGTGCCGCTCGGTGGGCACCGCGGCGCGGGGGGCTCGCCTCGACTTCCCGCGCCCCCGGGGTGCTCGTTCCCCCTTCCCCCTCCGCCTGTCCCTGGCTCCGGGTGCCTGACCTGCTTCCTTTCCTCCCCTGGCATCTCTTCCCCAACCCCACCCCCCCAAAACCCCGGTCCCCACCCCCACCGCAGCCCCCGCCCTCTCACGCCCCTTTCTCCACCCCCCAGCCCATCCCGCGGTCCTTTCCCTGCCTGGCGATCTAGGGGGTGGGAGGGGCGGGGGAGAGTGAGCAGGAAGCGGGCAGCGGGCTGAGGAGGGGCGAGGTGGGGGAAGGCCTTGAGGGTCTCTGGGACTCGGGCGAAGGTGTTTTTCTTTTTTTCCCTCTCTTTTTCCGCTTTGCATTCTTCCCCCGGCATGAATAAAGTTCATTCTGTTCTTTTTTCCCTTTTTTTCCTTTTTTTTTTGCCTTGTTTCTCCGATGCTTTCAGTCGCGTGTAAAAGTGAGCTCTAGATTTTAACTTTGCACAGTCGTGGAAACTCCAAAGCATGTGGTAGCGAAGGAGTTGATGAGATTCTTGGGCTCGGGACTCGGGTTGCAGAAAAGCCTTCAGTTCTGCTCTGGACAGCATTTCACAGACGCTCTTGAAGCCCAGCGCCCACACTGTGTGAATTTGAATGAAGTTGCTTTGGCACAAACCCCTGTAAGCGTAAACTAACCCAAGGCTTAAAGGATTGTTGTCTCCAAGATCTCCTTTGGCTCAGAATCACCTTCTGGCCACTGGTTTTGAGCCCTCTTGGCTCTCTCCATCCTAGGATGTGCCTTGCCATTTCGATTTCTTGGGAAAAGATGGGAAAGTGGCAAAGTTGGAAGGAGGGGCCTGGGTGGGCTGGGCCGGGACTGAGAGTTGATTTCTGTACCGGAGTTGGGACCGAGGGAGGGGTGCGGGGTGTGCAAGGGCGTTTGGAGGGAGGATGATGAATTCCTACCCTGGCAGGTTATCTTATTTATTTGAGCCTCCGACATTATTAATTGACTTTCATGCATATCTGTACAGCTCATTTGTATCTGAAGCACATTTTGAAAATAAACAGCAAAATAATTCCATAAAACAGACCAACTTTTTTGGCTTATTGAGCGTCCTCCTTTACTTGTGTCTACCAGTTTGCACCTAAACACTTTTTGAGGCCCCTGAAAGCAAGATTGCAGAGGACACCACCTGGTTGACTTTCTCAGGCTGGGCCTTTAGAGTCCTGGTATGAAGTCATTTGCACTAGCTCCAAAAATAAATAAATAAATACACCCACTTAAATGGGCCTTTGCTTTCCGCTTTTTTTTTTCCCCTTTTCTGAATGTCCAGGGTCACTGCAGCCTCTGCTGCTGCTCTGATCCAGAAATCCCAAGGCTGAGGTCAGGACACCTGGGAGATTCATAAAAACATACAAAATGATTCCAGCTAGCTTTAGGTTCTGACCTCAGAAGCACGTTCTGCATGGAACCCTCAGCATTCAAATGCTCTTGATTTATTTATTTTTCTTCTAGACTAAGCACCAGCGAGCAGAGCTCAGCTTTCTAGTTGACAGACCTCGCCGAGTTAACAGGTATGGAGCCTCCTGGGCCACCCCACCCCCAACATGGTCTAGGATGCACAATTTGCAGGCTACTCAGAGTAGGAAATGAGACATCCCATCCCATCCCCCCCAACAGAAAATGCTTCGAGGAAGTTCTCAGTTAGGCAGGATATAAGTACAGACTCTGCCCCTGAAAGTACCTGGGCACCCTTCCATCCTACCCAACTGACCCAATATATGTGAATACTTTAGCAGCTGGGGAACAGCCCACCGTTTCCCACCTTCTTCAGAGTTCTGGGTGTAGCTTTTCACATCCGCTTTGTGAAAAGGGTGTCAAAGTGCGTTTAAGTCCCACTCTGGCATGCTCCCTAAACTTTGCATGCTCGGAGGGCTCCATCTGTCTGCTGATGCTGACTTTTAACAAGTTAGAGCTAAAGTTGCACAAACTAGCTTCTTCCCAAGGAAAGCCCAGGGAGAATCTGCAGCTCCACCAGTCACCATGTGGTGGCAGAAGAATGTTTTGTGTTTCTTCACCTTTTTTTTGATTTTATTCTATTTTATTTCTGTGCCTCTAGTTCTGCGTTCCAGGAAGCCGACATAGTGAGCTCTAAGGACAGTGGTCACGGGGACAGTGAGCAGGGAGATAGTGACCACGATGCCACCAACCGCGGCCAGTCAGCTGGTAAGTGAGCTCCGGGGCACTCAAGATGCTGGCCTTGCTCGTTTGTCTGGGTTTGGTGGGGGTTGGTTTGTTTTAGAGGCTGAATCTAGAGAGGATTGTGTCCTGAGAGTTCCAGGCTGAGAACTCTTCAGAAAGACAGTGGACATCTCGTGAGGCGAATGTGGTGTGTCTGACAGTAGCAGCAGAACCAGGCTTCGGAGAGTTGAAGTTAGAATTCTTTGTGGAGTCTGTGAAGATGTGAAATGGTCCTTTGGGATGTTCTGTGGGTGTGTTTGTTGTTGTTGTCTTAATGCCTTGAAGCCACAGAGCTGGTTCTGCCCCAGTCTTTGCCCATTGTCCATTGAGGTGTTGGTAGACGTGTTTGTGGTTGAGGTTACCGAAGATGGATGGAACTGATTGCACGGTGCCAGCTCAGATAGTAGGTGGGGCTTGGGTGCGCAGGAGTCTGGCTTTCTGGCTTTCTAGGGCAGTCCGCAGGCCGCCAGGACTTGACTGAGAGCAGGAAGTGATGGATGGAGTCCCGAGAGGGGAAGCCGGGTCCATCCAGAGTCCCAAGCATGAATCGGAGTATAGTGTGACACATGTATTCAGCCCCACAAGTGCTCAGTTCCCTGAGTGCCACCTGTTGAAAGCTGAGCTCTCAGTACTTCTTTGCGGGTCTCATAATGGTCACTGATGGGCCTATAAAGGCATATCTACTTCCTATTTCCTTCTCCAGATTTTCTCTTTGATTTTCTCTTTAGAAATGTAACCCTTCCGTTTTATAGGATACCAATCACGCTACATCTTAGGATTTAAGTTGATAAAGTACGAACCCTTCAAGGATGAAAGAGAAGTCCTTTGGCAAACCTTGGGTTTTCTTCCCTGTCTTTGGCCTCTCGCTGTGGCAAAGCCCGGGTTGAATCCCTTTCCTCTTCCACCTCCCCCGCTGTGATCTCCAGGCTTCTGGAGCCTGGGCAGGAAAGGGAAAGGGGTTTGCTTCAGGGGGTCCCCCAAATTCCCCCTCCATCTTTGGACCGTTGGGATTGAGTTTCCATTCCCAGAGACTTGGGTGTGACTCTTGTTGACTGACCTTGTGCGCCAGCATCCTTAAGTTGGCATTGGTTCCTTCTAGGGAGCCCTCCACGCCCCTGCCCATAGCGAGGGGGACCCCTGAAAGTGCCCAGAAGGTGGTTGCAGAGTGGGCCCACCCCAGGGCTGGGTGAGCTGCCTCCCTGCTGCCCTGGGCTTGGGAAGCAGAGGCTGGAGAGAGAGCTCAAGGCGCCCTTTATGTCCCTGCAGAGTCATTAATATGCGCACCTAATGAGGCTCAGGGCTGCCAAGAATCCGCGAGGTCCCTGCCCCTTGCGAGCCGTCACGCTAAGTGAACAGAGCATCTATTTAGTGTCTGGGAACCTGACAACAAACCAGATCTTGCCAGAAGTTTATATTGGAGGACAAAGTCCCTTTCATTTTTGGCCTATATATGGCATATGATTTATTGTTATCTTTTCAGACGCGCGATGTGGAGAATCGCCCCTTTCTATTCTTTGCTCAGAGTTTCGAATTGATCCACCAGCCTTTTAAAACTTTGCAAATGTGGAATATTTGCAGAAGACTCTGCTTTCTGTTCCCTGGGATGCGTTTCAGTCCTTTCCCATTCTGCACACACCTCCCCTCAGTCCAACCCCCCTTTCTTTTTCCTGAAGTCCTCCAGTTCTCTGCGAACATTTCAATTAGTTTAGTCCCTCAGACATAATGAGCCATAATAACCTAACGAAGAAACAGAAATCAAGAAGCATCTGCAAAGGCGCTAAATTGGAAAGATGGATGGCTGTCTATTCGCGTCTGGGGTGCTTTCCCAGTGCCGATGGTCTTTCGCAGGCACCTAATATCGCCATTGGGGGAATGTTTCTTCTAAACTGCTTAGATGTCAAAGCCATCAAAGGAGAACTAAAATGGCAAGACATGTTGTGGGAAATGTTTTGAAGAAGCAGGGCTGCTTGGGTTTGGATCAGAGTAGCATGGTTGGCTATCTGTAAATTCTCCACTCCGGACAAGGATTCTGGGGTCCAGGGGCTGTTTGCGCATTTCATCAACAGGCAGGGTCCCCTCTATCTTCTGCCTTGGTAACTTAGGATCCCTTCGGCATCCTAATAGCTCTCTGCACCCAGGCCTCTCCCCTCGGTGCACGGGGTTCCAGAATTAGTGTGTTGGCTTTCACCATCAGGGTGATGCCACAGTGCTTTTTTTTGCAAGTATAAAATAGAAAAGTCTAGAACTTACTTGCCTAATGACTGGCCAATCTGTGCTGATGTCAGGTCCCCAAAAGCTCACACCAAGTAGCTACGATCTTTTAAAAGTTAAGTTCACTGTGGGCAAGTAAATGCACCTGCTTGTCTTAACGCCTAGAGTCAGTCTTGGTGATCTTCTATTGTTGCAGAATTTAAGAGATGTTGTCTGTCATAGCACATTCATTCCCAGAGGTAGGAAATGAAAGTGTCTTACTAATAGGAAGTCCCACTCAGCTCAGACTTGGAGGGATGTTATAGGAGTCAAGGGGAAAACTCCCTGGAAGGACCAAATTCTGCACTCCTTCTCTGTCTCTCTGCCTCTGTGTCTGTCTCTCCATCTCTCTCTGTCTCTCTTTCTGTTTATCTGTCTCTCTCTGTGTCTCTGTGTCTCTCCTCTCTCTCCTCTCTCTTCCTCTCTCCCTCTCTCTCTTCCTCTCTTCCTTTCTCTCTTCCTCTCTATCTTCCTCTCTCTCTCCTCTCTCTTCCTCTCTCCCTCTCTCTCTTCCTCTCTTCCTTTCTCTCTTCCTCTCTATCTTCCTCTCTCTCTTCTCTCTCTTCCTCTCCCTCCATCTCTCTCTCTTCCTCTCTCCCTCTCTCTTCCTCTCTTCCTCTCTCTCTTTCTGTCTCTCTCTCTCCCTCTCTCTCTCTGCTCAGACCCTCCTTCATTCTCCATTACAGAATTGCAGACAGCTCAGAGCTTCTGCTCCAGCATGCCAGCCTTCTCGCCATTCTCTCTCTTTCCTCTGTGCTGGAGTGCTCAGCCATGTCTTCCTCCATTCTTCCCTGAATAGTTTTCTTTTTGTTCTTTCTGCCCTCACCCCTGCTTTGCCTGTGTCTGCGCCATGTGCAGGCCCCATCTTGTTCAGAGAAGGGCTTTCCACGCCAGGCAGCTGCAGGGAGGCTCACATAAGCTGTTTCAGTTCCCCCACTGCACCTGGCCTCATGTGTGAAATTCTTGGGCTCGCCCACGGCTCTGTGGCACGCTCTTTCTATAGCCTTGTCAAGGTGCTTCCCGTTTTTTCGCAGGGCACTATTGATGTATTGGTTAGATATGGCAGGAGGCCAGGCGCTGTGGTCAGTTCAAGCATCAGCCTTCACGAGAGGGAGAACAGATTCCTCATAGCTGAAATTGCCCAAAAACATGCAAAGGGGAACCTAGGTGGAATATTATTTTCATGGTCATGGATTGTCTTAGATTAAAATGGGCTTCTTTTCTAACCCAGAATAATACCAAAATATTTTTTGTTGCAAATGTTAGTATTGCTAGAGGCATATTAAAGGAGATGTATGGAGCTGTGAGAAGCTTTTCTCCCCATTTACTAAATATTTACAATGGGCATACTCCTAGCATTAGTTTTTTAATTGATTTATAATAATGTGTCTCCTTAAAAGATTGATTGACCAAAAAAAAAGAAAAAAAAAACCTTAAAATATTGGTTATTTACTGTGCATAGTTTCCCTGAAAAGAGTCTAGTTTTTCTTCCTGCATTATTTTTTCTTTCCTCTATAAGGGAACTAGTTTTTGGATGTGTTAGTTTCTTAAATGGTTATGAGACCTACACATGAACATGGTCAAATTTAGGCTGTAAATTTCAAAGTTCTTTGAATGTCTGAGATTTCAAATAGTCATGAACTATATCAAGTTATTTGACTATTGCGACAATGCCAATAAAAGAATTATTAGTACACTGAAAAATCTGAATTTCTCCCTTCCGAACTCCTATAATAATTTAAAGCAATTTGGGCTAATTAGCTTTTGACTTTATAAATAAAGTTAATAAGCAAAAACTTACTCAGGTTTCTGCTTAAAATAGGAGTGAAAACTTTGCAATCTTGAGAGGATAAGAAAAATTATATGAGACAAAACATGAGCAGAAATTGGAGAGAATACAATTTGAAAGATGATGGGGAGAAAAATTCGATGTAAATATTTTGATTTTTTTTAATGACTTTGATGCAAGAACACTCCAATCCTAGTTTCCTAAAAAATTGCAACAATTTCTGTGGCTTCAGTTAATGCTCTTACTTGTTCAGTGTTAAGTGGCTAGAGAAGATTGGAAATTTCCTCAAAACATTGAGTGTTGATTTTCCTTGAAGTTGATATATCATACTTTGAAGTATGATAGGCCTTTTTTTGTTGGTAGAACTGAAACGGAGACGTGATGCTGTAGGATGACATTTTCCAGAAAACACAAGACTGAATGCAGGTTTATTTGCAGTACCACAGTTGGTTCTCAGGACCACAGGGCTGCCTCTTACTCTAAGGGACAAGCTACTTGCCTTTAAAAAGAGATGTATTTTAAAATTTGTCTAAATATATCTCTGCATAATAGGCAGTCTATCACTTCAGCTGTCAAGCCTTACAGAACAGATTATTTCTGAGAAATGAAAAAAAAATAAATAACTTGAAAAAGAAATTGCAAGTAAAATATATATGTTGAAAAGTTTCTTTGAAACTACCCAAATTTCAGGGGCCAGAGAGATAGTACCGTGAGTAAGATGCTTGCCTTGCCTGCAGCCGGTCCAGGCTCTGTTCCTGCATCCCATGTGTTCCATCAATCCCACAGGTTTTTACAGTAAGGACATTTGAGTCAATAAATAAATAAATAAATAATAAAGTTAAACTTACTTTATCTGGGGACTCCAATTGGAGCTATCAAAGTGTCTAGAGGACCAGAAAGATAAGCCAGTGGGTTGGGTGCTGGTCTTCCCCGCCCATCTCCTGGGCACAGTAGAGAGTGACCCTTGGGAGAATAGATCTGGAAGGAGGAAGCCCTGAGCATCGCCAGGTGTGGCCCCAAAGCAGAAACAAAATCCCCAGAGCCACGTGAAAGGCATGCATTTTACATGTCGTAGGGCTGGAGAGTCTGTTGTTCCTAGGCATGATGACCCTGTGTATTGGGTCATTGAAAAAATGTATTTAGTGAAACTAGAGCTTCACTGTAAAAATGAAAGAAGAGTGTCTTTCCATGGTACCCTGAGGTAAGGATCTGTAATAGGAAAAAGCCATTTGGTTCTCAAAATACATATCTAAAAGACAAATGGAAAAACCATTTTTAACAAGTGATTGTGCTGTTTTGTTGATCTATTTGTTGATTTGTTGACCTATTACTCATTTTTTATTTTGTTGATCTATTACTCATTTTTGTGTGTGTGTTTTGCTTCTTTGAGCTCTTCCTCATGAGAAATAGCACTCTTGTTTTTATCACTAAAGCCAGTGATGTGTGTGCAGACACGGTTTGTCTGATAGCCTAGTGCTAGGAAGCTTCGGATTATTACTAGGGGATCCTACCTTACAATGATCAGCTCGTAAATGTATTAAGGACATTACTTAAAAGTTTTTATTTCTGATCTAATCTTCCTCACTTTTACATATTTTTTTTAAAACAGTCTCAACACATGAGAACTTTACTGTTTAAACTGTTCTAATAATGGAATGTAAACTGTTCTAATAATCAAAAGAGGCACAAAATTAATTTCTTTGAGAGAAGAATTCAGAGACCAACTGAGTACCCATAAAAATAAGTTCTGCTAAAAGAACGTCTCAGCATAAACAAACAGCATCTTAATACGAAAGTTGAGATGCTATTTCCTTAAAATGTTTCTGTGTGAGACTATTATATTCAAAACTGTAAGAGTATTTGCATGCAGGTGCTCAAAAAGATATGTAAGATGTTGTTTATGGTCTCGTTGGTCTATTTAAACTTATATTTGTGGGGCCCAAGACGTGGTATAGCAGGGAGGGCACTTGCCTTGCATGCAGCTGACCCAGAATCAATCCCTGGCATCCCAGATAGTCCCAGAGCATACCAGGAGTGATGGAGTGATTCCTGAGCACAGAGCCAGGGGTAACCCTGCACACCTCTGGATGTGCCCCCCAAAAAAATAAAAGGAAAAAAATCATATTTATCAGTCAGATGAGAAAAAAAGTCCAAATTTTAAACCATCTTTAGCAAGTTCCAAGAATCCTATTCTGATATTTAAATTAATTTCATCGACTTCAAATTTAATATTGATGGATGTCTTTTTAAAATAAACGCTGTGCATAGCGCTTTGACTCTGTCCGAGTTTCACCCTTTGAGATGCCTTTTTCTCCCAGAACTTCACGTTCTAAGCACGGAGCACCTGTAGCTGTGTATGGAAATACAGGCCTCTCGCAGGCTGCTTCGCTAGTGAACACCTTCCTGTTCTGTCTGGGTCTTGAGTATGCTGCAGGCATTTTCTTTTCCTCTCTACAAATCTTGCAGGTTCAGGCTACAGGGCTCAGCTAGGAGGCTAGGGAAGCCGTGACAAGTATCCCCAGGCTCTTCTCACGTGGCGACTTCTAGCTACAGCTCATGTTTATGTGCTCAACTATTTGCTGATCAGTAATTTATTTCCATGACAATTACCAATGCATTGCTCTAAGAGTAGTGAGACTTGGCATTATACAGTTTGGAATTTCAAATTTTAAAAAATCATTAGAAAGTGCGATTAATACGGGATAAGCAGCTTGGTGGTATTTTGTTAAAACTAGCTGATATAATTATCTCTTCTTAACTCCAAAATACTTGTGGATAATCTGGGAGTTAATCATTTTGAAACATAACACGGTTTTCTTTGTTTCATTAATCTGTATAAAATCACGCTTGACATCGCCCTGCAAACAGGAGAATTAGTATCTGACAAAGTGCCACTGGAGTTTTATAACTAAAACTCACTCCAGAGCTTAAATCACTCCTGATATTTATAGATGAAATAGTCAAATGTGTTTATGACATAAATATTACTCTGATGATTAAGAAAGATTCTCTGTTTTCTCCTGACTAGTTTGCACTACACTTCCTTTCATACAAATCAACTGCGTTTTAGTTATTGCAAATTGATCCCGTTGTAAAACACCATCAATAAAAATTCCACTATTTAAAGGAAATTAAAATGTAGTGCGGAGAGATACTACATGGTTAAAAGCTCTTGCCTTGTATGCGGCCGACCCTGGTTTGATCTCCGGCACCACAAAAAGTCCTCCAAGCCCCACCAGGAGTGAACCCTGAGCACAGAACCGGGAGTAAAACCCCTGAGCTCTGCCAGGGGTGGTCCACCATCCCCAAATTCAAATGCATTCTGGCTTTTTATGCTTATCTTTCTTTGTGGTCCTAATGATCAAAATGAATGAAATGATGAAAATGACTAGTGAATAGTTTGTAGAATAGTTTCACAGTGTTCAAAAACTGGTATGTTTTGCTTTAGAATTATGAATGAGCTTTTTTGAGGTATTGTCAGATGATATTTCACAGTCTTGCCATTCTGGGTGACAGTGAGACTTGGTGCTTTCTGGGAACCTGGGTGCTCTAGTTCTGTGTGGACATAGAGAGCGAGTAACCAGGGGAGCATCTATAGGATTTGCTGCCCTCTCCCTTGCACTTGATTGCCTTGGTTTCACTAACTGGGGCCATTTGTTCTGGGCTCCTGCAAGGTGGATATTGGTCTGTAACGATGGTTGAGTGACCTGGCTACCACAATGGCATGGAGAAATAACCGTTAGGAAACATTTTCTGAGGGTCTGGGAAGCTTCCCCCTGCCGCGCGCGAAGTCATATTTTCCTGGGGTTCTTCCCTGTTCCCCGCCAGCTGCTCTGTAGTTCTGTGGGACATCCTTGCTCTGCCCGGGCCTGCTCCTCTTGTAGATCAGGGCTTACTGTTCCCCTCTGGGTGTCGACGAAACACAAGTGTCTCAACTTCATTCCAGATTAGAGTTAAAAAGTTGTAGATGCTTGGGTTTGGACCTTCTGTATTTTATTTTATTTTACTATTACTGTGTTTGGCATATTGAATACGTCATGGGTAGCTTGCCAGGCTTTGCCATGCAGGCGAGATACTCTCGGTAGCTTGCAGGGCCTGCTCAAGCAGATCAATGAACAACGGAAGGACAGTGACAGTGACAGATTTTATTTTATCTTATTTCCTTTTGGGGTCACATGCAGCGATGCTCAGGGGTTATTCCTGGCTTTGCACTCAGGAATTACTCCTGGCGGTGCTCGGGAGACCATATAGGATGCTGGGGATCAAACCCTGGTCGCCACACGCAAGGGAAATGCCCTGCTTGCTATTACTCAAGCCCCTGAGATTTATTTTAATATATGTATATATATATATTATTTTTTCTTTGTAGTTTCTTACATGATTTAGAGCCAACATCCACTCCTCCTTTTGTCATTTAGAAACCTGCACCCCCCTTACCTCTTGCAACCCGATGACAAAGAGTCCGGGGTGCCTCTCCAGCTGGGGGAAGGACCCTGGGCCCCCCTCCCGTAGCGCGGACCCCCGCCAGCCCCGGGCCAGTCTGCCAACCCTTGTCCTCCTTTCTTGTCCACTCACAGGCATGGATCTCTTCTCCAACTGCACGGAGGAATGCAAAGCACTGGGCCACTCGGACCGCTGCTGGATGCCCTCGTTCGTCCCCTCCGACGGCCGCCAGGCCGCTGACTACCGCAGCAACCTGCACGTGCCGGGCATGGACTCCGTCCCGGACACCGAGGTGTTCGAGGCCCCCGAGGCCCAGCCGGGCCCCGAGCGCTCCTTCTCCACCTTCGGCAAAGAGAAGGCGCTACACAGCACGCTGGAGAGGAAAGAGTTGGACGGCCTGCTCTCCAGCACACGCGCGCCTTACAAACCGCCCTACTTGAGTAAGTATCTGGCCGGAGGCCGCGGCCACGCGGGCCAGGCCGGGGACACGGGCACCACGCCAGGTCTCTCTGTCTCGTTTTGTTTTCTAGGGAAGGTAGCGTTCAGGTGGTTCTCAGAAAGCAGGACCAAAGAGGCCGGGGGCTGCAGGCAGAGCTCGACGGTGGGAAAATGAATGTTGTCACCGAGAAGACAGACAGAGTCGTGGGGGGTAGGACTCCGTTGGGGAGGGGACAGTCATCACGCACACGTCCAGGAGGTGGATGTTGGATTGTCACCGTTTCTGAATGTCCTTCCTGCCTTCTTCTTCGTGGAGGGGGTCTAGGTGTCCGTGTGTTGGAAGGACTTCGTGCAGGGGTCGAGTTGTCTCTGGCTCAGAGCACGCTTGCCTTGTCTGGCCAGGCCAGCGTGCTCGGCAGATGACCCCATCTCATCCTGACATCACAGCCACCAAGGCCCGTCTCAGAACCCGTGGCAGCTGTGGCTTTGCCCGTGGGGCGTGGTGTCGTGGTTGCTTGCTGTGGACCAGGCCCAGATAAGGAGCAGACGCAGAGGGTGAGGGAGGCTAGCGCTGCCCCATGCTCAGCGAGTTTCCTTGAGCGCCTGGACGGTCGCTCTTGGCTCTTGGGCTTCTGCGACCACGTTCTCCAAGTAGGTCCCTTCATACAACAGCTGTGAACCAGAAAAAAAAACACTTCTAAGATTCCGCATTTCGATTCCTTTGAAGGATCTGAAGTTATCCTGTTGATTGTACATTTCATCAGAATTCTTTGTGGCTAGCTGATGGAAAAACAGCACTGACAATTTAGTGTTGTGGTGCAACCATGTTAGACTAGCAGGAGGTAAGGATGGAATTCAGACCAGTCCCATCCAAAGATGATTTTCTCTGGGAGAGCTGGTCCATTGTCCACAGTGGTTTCTTGTCTTCATCTTCTGGTGCAAAATAATCTGGTGATCACACACTAGAGAGAAGAGATAAGACTACTTGCAGACCTAGATATTCTTTTCTGACTTAGGGCATGGGAGGCGAAGGAAAACTAGATTTATAAGAATTTTTAAAAACCGTAGAAGAAGTTTACCCTTCAGCTTACCCTTAATAAATATAATTGTGAAAGGCATGGGTCGAATGCATCGAGGACTGTCACCCAGCGCTTTGATAATAACATACAGCACTTGGATGGCAAGAGTGAATCGGCCATTTGAGACAGTCATTATGATATGACAAATCATGATCAAATGATGTTTTATGAAAGGTGCATCTATTTTTCAAATTAATTTAGAAACGTCCTGATCTTAGTGTGTTTCAGCATTTAAATATTTTGGTATTAGTGTTCAGTGTTAGCATTTTAATATACACAACCATGTCATTGTACTACCCTCCAAATTACTGATGTTTGATTTCTAAGATTATCAAATGCAAGAAGTGTAAAAATACTGCAGAGGGGGAGAAAAATGAGAATTTCTAAACACTAACCAAGAAATAACTTGGATGGTGAAGTCAGAAGGTTAAAAACTCACACATTTACACACAGTAGCAAATTAAGTGCCCTAAAATAAAGTTGCCATCAGTAAGAACTCTAATACATGCTTGGCCAGTCAAAATGAAACTTGGAATTTCCATTTTATTTATTAGTGAGAACCAAACTTTTCATAATTTTGACAAGGTATTCTCAGTCATTTCACTTGAATACATGTCAAAGAGATATTTTCAATCATTTCAAAGCAAAATATCAAAGAACTTTTGATTCAGATAAATTGGAATTTGTATTTCTAAATAGAAACTCTTGCTGCTACTACAAATTAGCTTTTAAGTCTGTGTTATCATGGAGAAGGGCTGGAGCGATAGCACAACGGGTAGGGCATTGGCCTTACAAGCGGCCAACATGGCCGACCCGAGTTCGATTCCTCCGCCCCTCTCGGAGAGCCCGGCAAGCTACCGAGAGTATTCGATATGCCAGACACAGTAACAACAAAGTCTCCAATGGAGACGTTACTGGGCCCGCTCGAGCAAATCGACGATCAACGGGAGGGCCTTTACCTTACCTTTATCATGGAGAAATCATTTTTCCTTCTTTAGTGTTTACTGAGTAAAAACTCACACTTAGAATTGAATTTTAGACAGCTACAAATGTCTTTTCCCAGTATTTTTTAATTTAAAAATCATAATTTCATTAATGAAAGTATTAATGCCCCATATATTTTATTACATATCATTTAGATATGTGTTAGAATAAATTAGTTTTTAATATAAATTTGTGGGGTTTTTTATATCGTTTTAGCCAACTTGCATGCTAAAAATTAAGGATTTGGCCCTTGATGAGAAAAATAAGTGAGAAACAGAACTATTCTGTTTATATCTTTAGAACCAGTCTCTTTATATCTTCATATATTTCTGAAATGACTTAGACTTCTTGCAGTTAACATCGTAAACTCATATACTTATCTTTAAAATTATGTCATGGCTTTGATTTAAAGGCAGTCAATATTATGGATTATCTGCAAGTAAAAAACTGGAAACCCAAACCATCCAGATCACTTTGCTCCCTTAATTCATGAGAGTTAATCTGGTATCATTTATCATTAGGAATGAAAATATTCTCATCTTCTAAATTGAAAAGCACGTCCCTTATGTAATTAAAGAAGCTAAAAATTGACACTAATTACTTGCTTTTAATCAGAATGTTTAAATAATTACTCAGGTAGCTTTTTTTTCCTTTTCTAAACATGTGTTTGGTATTTTTAATGAACTAATGTACATTTTGATGCTCAGAAGTTAGCTGTAAATTTATTTCATTATTTTTATAACCCTGTTTTGAAAAGACTAATGAAGCCACCACTGCTATCATTTGTAACGTCAGGGCAATAGTGATACCCTTATTACAAATGAGATTATTGTTACCTAGATCAAAGTTTTATCGCTTTCTCTGCCTCTGGTTGCTAAATTTGAAGAAATTAACTTTTACCCAAAATAGGCATAGGCCCACAAAGATACACCAAATATAGTTATATTCTCCCCTGTTTATAACTCAACGTGAAAAATACCTAAAGAGTAAATCTAAAAACAAAATCAAAGAATGAATTGCATTTGTTGAGAAGAAATTTGTATTTTTCCATAGTAGTTTGGAGCTTCTCAGCTATTACTCTCCTGGCTTGTTATGAGTGCTTCATAAATATGTGCTCTCTTAATTTGTCCTAAGAATACAAAAGTGAGTATGGAGAAAGGGGTCTAAGGAAAATACTCAAGTCTGAGGAGATAGATTTAAGCACGAAGAATATTGCCATAAAATAAAGAGAAAGCCACGAATATTCTTTAGATTTACTTCAAGGCGTTAATAAATTTTAGCTAAACATCATTACACTTTTCTTAGAATATTAAAAAAAACTTTAAAACTTGATAAAAATCAATCATTATTTTTAACAGTTTTAATGTAAAAGAAGAAACATTCTATGGAGTTTTGAAAGAACATTGCCTTTTTATCATGACAACACCAAAAATTTGAAGTTTACTTTCTTTTATTTTTTATTTTTTTACTTACCTTTATTTATTTAATTATTTATTTATTTTTGCCTTTTTTCACTTTTGGAGTCACATCCAGCCATGCTCACGGCTGACTCCTGGCTCTTACTCAAGGATCACTCCTGGCGGTGCTCTGGGTTCCATACGTGGTGGTGGGAACCCACCCTGGGCCGGCTGTGTTCAAGGCAAGCGCCCCTGCCCACGGTGCTAGCTATCCAGCCCAATTTTGAATTTTAGATATGGAATATAGCTGCTAAGTTACATGATCAAGTACATATAAAAATAACTCTGATAAGTCCCAGCAAATAGGAAATATAAAAATAATGTAGATATGAGAATATAGTGGATAAGAGCTGACATTGCTATAATTTAGTAATGCCCAATCGTTAAAACATTTTTATAGTACATTTGCCTTGATACTGGCTTTACATTTTGGACCTCATCTTTTGAGATAGTTGGACTTTTTGGGGTAAGGTGCATACCCACCGGTGCTTAGGGCTTAATTCTGGCTCTGTGCTCAGGGATCACTCCTGTTGGTGCTCAAGGGCCATTTGCAGTTCTGGGGATCAAACTTGGGTTAAACATGTGCAAAGGAAGTGCCTTCCCCTCTATTGTCTCTCTGGTCCCATTTCTTAAGATTTTCTTTTTGTCAGCTAATAGCTCAAATCAACTAAAACAATGCAGTACTAAATGGGTAAGAATTTGTTTGGAAATATGTTGATTTCCTATTAATAACATACTCCAGAAGAATTGAAAATAGTCAATAAATAAGCAAGGAGATTTCATCCAGAATATACGCATTTAAATGTTTTTTTTTTCATTGAATTAAAAGGCCTTGCTCTAATGAATTACATTGAAGTGATAAAACTGCATTCTCCATTTTTTTTGAGGTGAGGTTGGACCATACTCAGCAGTGGTCAGCGTCTACTCCTGTGGTGGCTGGGGTCCATGTCGGGGTGAGGGTGGACAGGCCATATATGGTGCCAAGAATCCACTGGGGGGGTTGGTCATGTACAAGGAAATCATCTTCCCTGCTTGTACTATCTCTCTGGCCCTGTCGTTGATTTTTATATATGGGGAAAAAAAATCCATAGCATTTTCTATGATCATCATTTCATAGTAAACCCTTTCTTGAAAATTTGCATGATTCCTTACTGCCTCTGATCATGCAACATTCATGCTGGTCAAAAAAACTCCTCTCTGACCTCACTGTGTCAACTTTTGAGCTCTTCGGAATGATTTTTTTCATTCCAATCACAGTGACATTGCTCTGCGGGACTGTCTCTGTTTAGGAGCCCCAGTTTCCCACCTCCCCCAAATCAGTGGGCACACCTTACCGTTCTGAGACTTTAAACCCCCTGCCCTTTCCCTCAGAGATGTGAGAACACTGCCCGTTGGAAGAGTTCTCGCACACGCCCTTCATCCCAAGGGCCCTCTCTGGGGAGAGTTGCTGTATCTACATTGTTTCTGCAGAGCACTTCAAGT